CGATTCGCGGTAAAAAAAGTTGCGCGCGCGTTTCCGAAGGCTACTTGGCTGTATCCCAATGGAAACGCGCAACAAAACAGCACAAAGTAGTACATGTACCTTTTCAGGCATGGGCCGTTTTGTAGCGCATTAGGGACGGGCGGAAATACGCCAAGGTGGGAACGAGACCATTGAATACAATGGGATTTATATTTTTGAGCGTTTTGTAGAGCGTTCGTCGAGCGTAGAACGCGCTACAAAACATTCAGGTGTGACCGAGGGCTAAGTGTATTTGTTTGCAAATGTGCCTTTGCATGCTGCATTTAAAGTTGAGCATGCTGCAGTTTTGACAGAAGCATGGCAGTATGACCAAGCCCTTCTGTACTTTAAAATTGATGTTCTGAAAGTGGAGTCTTCACTCGTGCATTCACGCAATGGCTACAGTGCACCTAATGTGAAGTGGATATTAAAGCCAGAGTCCAAGGTGATCTGTAAATATGGTATTACTATTATATAAAGTGTATTTCCACTTTTGCAGTCAAATTTCAGAATACGGCTATAGGTTTGTGTCCCCATTCACAGCATAAAGAAACCCTTTTTAGCTATTTTGTTGCAGCAGGCAACCTGGCTAACTCGAGGTCTGGGCACATACATGCGCAAATGACTGCGCCCATTATGCCACACGTTATCGCGAATGTCAGTGAGCAATAATTGGGGGGCCATCAATCACTGACACTAAATTGATGAGCGGTAAAGCGTCGCATATGGCCAGTTTTGGGTGTCGGAGTTTTTTTTGCAATTTCGCAGACGTGCACAATTTTAAGGCTTGACGTGCTTGGTGTCTATTTACTAGACGTGACCCTGTCTTTTATTTTACCATAAACATTGGGTCATGTTTCATAACATAAAGGGGAAAACTTTTTTTTTTCCCCTTATAAACATCCCCTCCAGTGGTTAAATACCACCAAAAAGCTGGGTGACATTTTATTCAGTCATGCAACGCGCAGCGCTGAATACTGAAATGGCCTGGACAGGAAGGGTGTATACACCCCAGTCTTCAAGTAGTTCAATACTTGAGACTGAAATTTTTGAAGATCCTTTCCCTCATTAACATGCAGTGCAAACCCATCCTAACAAAGAAAAAAAAGGTTGAATCTTTAACTGTTAAGAAGCCAAGAAACCCTAAACAAAGTAAAGGCCATTTAAATTGTAAGAAGCATTAATTTTTAGCTTGTGCTATTTGAATGGGAACATGTAACAAATATAAAATTTGGCTGCGAAATTGGAAACTCAATGTAAATAAACCTTGTTAACGGGATTTAAATATGGGGCACTTGGACGAAATGCTTCCAAAATTGATCTGTTGATAGAAGTCAGTTTGACTATTAAAATGTTTAGATTTTTTGAGGCAGCCTAAAGCTTGTCTGAATGGTCCCTGAATGGGGCCATGTAGCAACACTTCAGGTTTCACCCCAAACAGTTGGGAGACTTATGTTTTACTATGGGATGTATTCTCAAAACTATGCAGTTTCCCTAACTCTGAAATCCTCCAGGTATTTAGAACAAGCACAATGGACCTGTCTCTAATAGATCTCTTGTTTTGTTACTACTTGGGGGGTTGGGGTGGAGTGTAAACATATTGTACATTATCAAATTGTAAAACTGCTGCAGAAATTGAACTAGAACTTTCAGGAACCATCCCATGAGAAGTCTGAGGGGGGGTTTAGAGCAGATGGTTCTATCTGATTCCAGGCATTCACTGTAGACTGCCATAGTTTAGATGTTAGTTGTGAATTAATAGGTTTTTGAGCCATAGCCAACATGTAAAAATGGTTGACCATCTGTCCAATTGACTTAATTTACTTTCTATTCTAGGCACGTGGTATAGATCTACAGCAGGTTTCCCTGGTGATAAATTATGACCTACCTACCAATCGTGAAAATTACATTCACAGGTCTGTATACAATACTAGATTCTTCAATAGCTGAAATGTTGTTTTTTTTAAAAAGTAGAAATTAGGAATATTCCTCAGTTGTCAAATAACTTTCAGCAAATACAGCAAATTTTTAATGCCAAAGCACTGTCTTCCCTTCAGAACAAGCAATAAACAAAGTAATGAACGCAGGATAAGTTACAGTATAGCTGTGAAGTGCTGTTCTATCGTTCCCCCTGCAAATAATAAATTGCTTCCTACTATCCCTGTCTGTTTGACATTAATACGGCAGACAGGGACGCTTGGTCTCAAACAGGTCTTGTCTTTGTTATGGCATGTAGTTGAATTCCCAGGGCAATCTTTACAAAGCTTTTATGTTTAAATAGTTAAGGAGCAGAGTACCGTTTGCTCCCGGACGCTGCAGAGAATGGCCTGTGGAACTGGTGTGTATTTCTCTTGACCAGAGAAAACACACATGTGGTCGTGAATTGATGGTGGCCAGTGGAACAAGGACTTGTACTTGTAAAGGTAATGTCTTCATCTATATCTTTCTGTTGTCTAGTTACAACAGTTGGGGAAAATTGAGTGGATTTTAATGCTTTGGCTGTTTGCTGTTACATGCCGTGCCTACACTTTCATAACCTAGCATACTATGTAGATGTTCCAATGGAGCCCTCAACATGCCCAGAAAGTCGGGCAGTGTACTTGATTCAAGAGGCAGCAAAAGTTTTTTTAATTAAGATTGTAAGAAATGTGATGCGCTGCTAGTATTTCTCAAACCTTGGTGGGAAAAGATGCATCTGTCATGTTAAAACTAGGCCAGATGTCTGAGCTCCATTCCTACAAGACTGCTTGGGAATCTGCTGGTGCCTGTACACATGGAATCGCCAGATCTAAAGACTAAGCAGCCAAATAGTAGAATTTTGTGCATGTACACAATTTCTATTAGAAAACGATCGCATTGACCAGTCTAGGTGACAAAAGTCTAAATGTCAAAGCTTTGGGGTCTTTACCACAATGTACAGGTGACTTAACTGTCTTGGAGGTACATCTGTTCAGCTGGCCAGGGCCAAGCTAGTCCTAAAGCTTCATATATTTAACTGAGTTGCCTGGGCATTTTCAGCAGATCCTTGGCTTGAATTGCTGTTTACTCAAAGTTTTCACCAGCAGTTCATGTTCTTGGGTCTCGAGGAACACTGGAAAGTGTTTTAGTCCTACTTGCTGTATAGTGTATTGCATGCGTTGGGTTAGCTATAGATTAAAGATGCCACAAGTGGGTGACTTCAAATCTGTTAGAAGATCGTGTTCAATGGCATTTTTGCCTTTTATACAAATCAAAGTTGATTTGACAATTCTAACATGGTTGGATGATATGCATTTTTGGAGTATAAAGAGCATTGGGTCTTTTTGGGTACTAGGTGCAACAACTTTTGAAATTGGTAAAACTAGAGATGCAGATACTATTTGTTTGGTATCTAGTAAAAGTGGCAATATTTATCTTTCGCTACTCACCGATACCATGTGCCAATACAGAGTACCAGTACTTTTGCTGGCAAAACAGCATGGAGCTGGCTTGCCTGGCAATCGATAAGCCAGGCAGCGAGTCATTACTGCGTCCTGACAATGTTCAATAAATAGTATATTTACTCCCTGTAGTTTCCTGTAATTTCTTTGCAGTTTTGTTTTCAAAGTTTTTATTGGTTTTCAGTACTTATACAGTTCCACTCATAGACCGCAGTATCCTTATATAAACATATAATGCTTGTTTAGGATACATATATTTTATCACAATCATTGGTCCTTCAACAGCAACAGGGCTAAAGAATGCTTACCTCTGTCTAATGTGTTAATATAATACCAAAGCCCCCTGCAACATGATTCTAAATCCTCATCATACCTGCTATAGAATGGGGGGTCGAATAAATTCAATTTTCTCTCTTGCCATTGTAAGAACCACTGTTAGTCACCCAATCTGTGGGTATTGGATCCCTCTGAATGGGTCGTACAAGGCTCCCAACAAGAAGGGGAGTAACGGAAAACACAGTTTCAGTAAGAAATTAAAAGAACCAATAAAAAAAAAAATATATGAACATAAAAAAAAAGATAAAACAATAAGGCACAATATTGCTAATTTATGGACTTGTGGGGTTCCTAGGAAAACACACCATAACTTAGCCTGAGGATTCTTTGCAGTTTTTGGCTAGAGAAGTAGCTACTGAATAATATGTGTAGTGCCAGCTATAATCTTGGAAAGTAAGGGTTGGAAACTGAATAGGTTTACTGCTCTCTGGTCCCATGGAGTCCCCGCGTGTCAGTGCCATGCTAATGTCACAAGAACCTGCAAAGGTAACTGCCTCCAGGAGCTTCCTGGATGTAACAGGCTGTTGAGACTGCCTGTTAGCCCAGCCCACTCGCATACAAGAGGGTCAGCAGATTGCTTGTATAACGTGCTGGTATGTGTGAGCCCCAGACCAGCAGGGAGGGTAAATCCGGTCCTGAGCCCTGAAGGAAGAAAGCCTTTACAAGAGACCAAATACAATGACTGAAATGAGTACTTCAAGTCCTGGTAACTGTCTAGCAGAATTCAATGCGGAAAAGATGGATCTAGATTAGCCTGAGTAATGCAAAGGGTTGGTCCTTGATTAGTGCAAGTTTCTACTTGATGGCCGTGTGAGCCATCTCTTGATAAATGAGATCCACTGAGTGCCCTGCGCAGCCACCTTTTGCCGGTCCTCTAGGTCGTGTCCCTTAGCCAGCACCCTAGCCAGATCTGGAAGAAGCAGGGAGGAGTCATTTTATAACCTTCTCTGCCCCTCCCCAAACTTAATTCCATAACGATCAACATGATTTAGTATTACGATCCGATAACACCTACATTTTTGCGTGCCATGACACCTGCTGATAGACACCAAAAACTTGACTAATTTGTGTCTTTAGGCTTCTGGACCTCCTAAATTACTCGGCAGACAAAGTGATCATTGAGACAGGTTGCCATAACAGATAACCCTTTACACACCTACCCAGAAGATAGCAATCTGTTAATGGACAGGAACGTAACTGCTTTAACATTTGGTAGCTGTCGCAAGGACAGGTTTCTTTTGATTCAGCTTAAACCATTTTTAAATATTTTATTGAACAAATGGTACAAGAAAATATTTACAGAAGATTACAAGATTCACAACAGTAGAATAAACAATTCAAAAAAACACCCTTAAAGTTCACCTGGTCTTTGGTTCCTTGAAGAGTTGGTCCAATTTGGCTTACATAAATGATCCTTTGAATTCCTTAGTTATGATGGAGATGAGAGCTACTGTCAATTGCAGCCACCTTTTCCGGTACCTGAAGTGTGTACAGAATTAAGCAATAGGGTTTGAGGGGAGTGCTGAAGTGTTTTTGATGCTTCAGACACCCTGAATGCCAATTTTTCCAACTAGATCATATTTTCACATGGCAGTTTTACAAGCCAATATATTACTGAAAAGAATGAAGTTACAATTTGATCTTATGCATATTCCCCTTAAGCAATGTTGAAGATCCATATCTGGTTATTTTCCATTAGTGCATGCACATGTTACACCTGTAGCACCATCATAGCAGGAATTATGGATTCAGTATAGAGTTTAGTTCTGACAGTTCTATTTCAGCTCAAAAACCACAGATGGAGCATTTGCTTTAGACCCTTGGCTCTCAACTGGTGGGTTGTGACCCTGTGTTCAGTGGGTCCCTGTGTGCCTTCCACTTTTCTAGGTGAGAGGCTCATCATCCTTCCCCTAGCGCAGGACTGTCAGTTCTCATGCCTAGCAGCCATTCAAAATATGCTGCCTGGTGCCGAGTCAGCTTGAGGTGGGCTGGGGCTATGCCTGCGAGGGAGCTCCATCCATACTTGCATTGCTTACAGCTCACTTGCGTACCCTGTAGAGGTGCC